CTGGAAAACGAAAATCACATACATGGGTTCTCAGTTCTGCAGCTTCGTGCCATGCATGGTTTCAATGCAAGACATATCTATTGGAAGCATATCTCTTCGGAGCATCACAGTAGCATCTGTTCACACTCTGACCCTGTAAAGGAATATAATGACTCGTTTATGTGTTTTCAATTTTCAGACCATGTTGCTCCAGCAATCTGAAACTTGAGATTCCTTTTCTTATTTTGTAACTAGTGTGGGTTCCATGAGTTGTCGTTTAGAGTACAAGAAATAAGATACTTCTTAGTTCACAATAATGTGTGACTTGTTAGAATTTTTACATTAAATATAGAATCCTTTTCTGAGACTGAATATTTAGATCTGATTTTTCACATTAGAACTGGGAAAATTTGTGGCTAAATGAAGTCTGATGATTTTAAGCCATATCACGTAGAGAATCAATAGTTATTCATACAAATTAATGAGGCATGTATTTAGTTCACTACTTGTTGGTTTGGCTCTCCATATTGCTTTAAATCATGGCATCAATGTTTCAATAGATAATAGGCCTTTGTCTGGGAAAAATTAAATATTGGAATATATATATATATATATATTCATCATTGCCTTGCTATATATTAAATTTCATTTAAAATTACACAGTATTTTCATATTTATCTTTATTTAGGGTTTTTCAATCAAAAATAGGAAAAATTATTCTACAGATATTTATAGTTTTACACAATTTTAAACTAGGTCTTTATAGTTTATTTTGTTTTAATCAAACTTTTATAATTTGATAGATTAAATATGTTAGTCCCCAATTGTTAAAATCTTTTAATTTTTCTTTTAAAAATGAATATTAAGGGATTCTATATTTTTATTAAAAAATATTATATAATTTTAGACTTAATTTAACAATTTTTATAATTCAAAATTTATGTAATTAGGTTATGCTTTCTAAATAACTTTTTAATATATATAATTTTTACAAAAAATAAATAAAAATGTAAGTATTGTATTAAATTAAAATTTTTTGACTAAAAACATTAAATCAAATTTTCTATGAATTTTAAAAGTTTTTTAATTTTAAAAAAGTCAATCATTCATTAGTAATTTTAATTTGGGGACAAATACATTTAATCGATCAAATTATATGCACTTGATTAAAACAAATAAACTATAAAGACATAATTTAAAATTGAAAACATTATAAGGATCAGTGGATTAGTTTTCTTTCGGAAAAAAAAAAAATCTTGTCAATTATACCTCCAATTAAAGGCATTTTTTTAAAAAAAATCTTATTAACCAGAAATGCCTTGTGTTTTTTAATATAATATTTAAAAATATTTTATAATTTTGAATGGAGTAATTTACTTTGAAAATATTATGATTTCTTTTAACAATAAGATTATTTGATTGACATATTTTTTAAACCTTTGCTTTTACGATAAAAAAGCCACCTAGCATGAGACTCATGGAACATCTGAGCATTTGAAGTATTTCAATATTATAAATAGAATTTAGATACAGTATTTATGTTGCAAAAGTCAATTCAAAAAGGAAAATCAATACCAAGTCAAGACCATGTAAATTCAAAAAGGGATCATTGTAATTTTTGACCTTATAATTACATTCAATTGGCCATTTGATCATAATTGTTTAAAAAATTATAATTAAATCTTTATAATTTACTTAAGCTATAATTTAATCCTAGTCACTGCCTTTTGTTAATATTTTGCTATAAATTTGAGTTAACTTTAGGCTGTTATTTACGGATTTATACAATTCATACATATTTCAATGATGTTAAGATAATATAGGGTTCATTGTACTGAGGAGAAAAATAAAAAACTTATAACGATCCAATCATAAAATTTCAAGATAAAAACATCAAATTAAAAATTGAATAAAATTGTAGGGACTAGACATAGAACTTTTCTATCAAAAAAAGATAATTACACTGGACTGATCTCGTGAATAAAGCACCTTATTAAAAAAAAAAAGTTAATATTATGTTTGAATGCATGTGAATTTAGATTTGAATTTAAATTTAAGTTAAATTTATTGTTTGGGTAATTAAAAATATTTTAATTTGAATTTAATCTAATCTATTTGTAATTTTAAATTCTCTTTAAACCGTTATTATTTCAAATTTTAAATTTTCTTTTCCTTTGTTCATGTTCGTTCATCGATTTTAATTATAATCGTTGGCGTCGACTAGAATCGGATTGCAACCGTTGTCCAGTCCCCATCGTTGGCTATCCAGTTACAACCAAGGCGGGGACTGGATAGCTAGCGATGACCAGGACGTGACCCCCTACATCATCTATCCAATGTCATCATCTGGTGTCAGTCTGCTACAACCATTAGGTGTTAGTCTATTGCATTCAACCTATGTCTATCCATCCTCATCATCCCATCCAAGACCGGTCTATGATTAGTATCTTCTATTTGTTTGCCTTCGTCATTTGGTGCCAAACGCTGCTCTCAACAAAAATGTTCTAGTGTCATCATCCATGTCCAATTCTCAACCTTTGGATTGCTATAATCATCATGTGCTAATCCTTATTTGTTATCTTGAATTTTATTTAAGATTCAAATAGAATATTTTAAAATTATAATTTGAATGTTTTTATGTCATTTAAACAAAAAATTTATAATTTATGAATTTTAAATGTAAGATTTTAAATATAAAATTTTAAATTTAAATTTTTAATCTAAATTCACTTATTCAAATGCAACCTAAATGTTTTCAAGGACAAAGGACTTCCTAGTTATGCAAAATATCTTTTACCGAAATCTTCACAATAAAATTATCACAGTCAATTACTTATTCTCAAAACGATGAACCCAAATTCACAATTGATGGGCAATAAAGACAACATCATAATCACAAGGCTTGAACAACCTTCCATCGCACAGATTACACGCACATAATTGTACTCCTTTTTTGGAGTAACTTGGGGATCGATCTTAGAACTCTTTACATCAAGGGAGAGATAATGCTATTTGAGCTACGTCATTGATATAATTTATACTTTTTCTATCTCAAATTATAAAACAACTTTAAAAAAATTTCTTTATTTCAAAATATGGGACAATTTAAAAAAATAAAGTTTTATCATACTCTTTAAATATTATTCTTTAAGTGAGGAGAGAATTGAAATAATATTATAATATAATAATTAGGCGTGTGAAAATAGTTCACACAAAAGTTAGAGCTTTATATACGACATTTTGCCTTGAAAATTATACGATGTGGGCCTAATGAAGAGATGCAGCAAAGAGAATATGTAGTCCTCATGTTTATTTATTTATAGTTTACTTGATTCTGTTAGACTGAGTTTTGTTCTTTGCACAGTGTCTCTAGTGCTTGGTGGATTTGTTCAGCTGTATGAACTCAGTAAAATCTTTCTTGATACTGAGTCTATTGATTAGATGAGAGATGAAAATGCAAATTGATGTGGAAAATAGTTTATATGCCTTGATGCAACCTTGAATGTACAGAAATAATCTATTTCCCTAAAATGTTTTGTCATTTTTCTTCAAATTTCAAAAGGAATAGTGTTGTAATGTTCTTAGGAGGAGAAACCAGTGTAGTATGTTTTTATGCATGATCAAGATGAATATAAAAATAATAAAAAATGATTTTATTAGTTTCATTGAGATAATTAATTCATGACTGCCTGCACCAACTTTATTTGCCTGCTTTGTGAATTTACTCTTAAACGCCAATATTTTTTTTAAAAAAATGACAGAAAAAATTGCTCTAAAATATGCAAATATCTTATGCTTCATCTTTTCTTTTCTTTCTTCTCTCTCTAATCAGCACAGACTATAGGAACTTTTAGATGGACTAGAATTAGCATGGTGCCTTGGCTAAAGGAAAATTCAATTGGAAGGATCCTAGCGGTCCATCTAATGACCCCAAATGAACCAGAGAACGTGTGGCTATTAAATTAAGAATTGTATGTAAAATTCTCATAATACTCCAGAGGAAATGAACATTAGACATTAGACATGCTTATTGCAAGATTAACAGGTGTATTGACTTTATGGTTACATCCACAAGATTAACAGATTTATTGACTTTATGGATACATCTCACATTATGTTTAGAACTGTGTTCATTATTTTGATACTAATTGAGTGGGATTCTCAATATTTGAATGATATGATGACACCCAAACAGTCACGCATCCTTGTATGTGTTCCGGTAATGTTCTTATTGGAAGACCGGTTCCTGAAAGACTTATATTTCGCCAACTTATCCTCATTGAATGGTGTTCGTTTGCTTAAAAGTTTGCACCTTAATTGAGTAACTCTTCCATAAATATTCAAATACTTGATTTTTTTTTTTTTAATGTTCCAGACTCGTCAGAACTCACATGCTTCATCATGCTGTGTTAAATTGATTGAGTACCTGTCTACTCAATAATCTCTTCTTAATTGAGTTTGCTCTCTTCAACCACTCAAGTAACAAAATATTGTAGACAGGTGTGCGGGTGGGTGTGATCATGTGTGTGTGTCTGTTTTGTGTGTGGAACAAATTCATGTATGCCCCCTTCAAATTATTCATTTACACATGTCAATAATTTGATTTAACATATCATAAAATGAATTTTATTAAACAAATGAAAAATGAGAAGTATGATAATATTTATAAAACGGCAAAACTTATATACTTAAAATTATGTCTTTAATATGTTTTTTTTTTTCCCCAATAACTTGTTGCCATTTGGATGCTCTTTCGAGCTCATAAATTCCCTCATTTACACTCGTATCTCCCTCATCTTTGCGTCATGTCTTATTACTTAAATTAAATCGCTAAAACCCTTTGAGGTTAAAAAAAGAAAAAAGAAAAGTTGCTACTTGAAATCACAAGCCTAGCTAGCTAATTGAAAAAACAATCCAATGACAAAAATCTTCTCTAACAACAAATAATATTTGTGAAGTTTTTTAAATGAAGGTCTACATTGATAACGATTTACCTAACCATCAAAGATGAAACTAAAATAGACCTGTTAAAAAAGACAACGGTTTTTTAAGCTAGAGGTTGATTATTCAATTGTTCTGTTAAGGCAATTGCACACAGCCAAAGCGTCACCGCTTACACGCTCATGCCCTACCCTTGTGGCATAAGTGATTAACTAGTTGGAACATGGCTTCATACATGCTACACTCTTGAAGATACACTAATCCAAAACGATATCATCAATAGATCAAATATCAAAGGTTCAATTCTACTGGCAGCAAACTACAAAGTCATTGATATGGAGTCCTTTCCATTTGAAGATAAAGGGCACAGCATTTCAAATGGTCTTTGTACTGTCCCGTCTCCCGAGCATCCTCTACCTGAACCACCATCTCTGGATCGCCGATAAAGGAGTATTCAACGCCGGAGCATGGCGGTGGATGAATGGGGTCACAGTCCTCCCAATTTTAGCCCAAACACTTTGATGGTAAGGAGCAGTAACAGGAACTTGATACATGAGCTTCAAAACCTGTAAAACGAATTTTAGGCAAAGCAAGAGAATACTTTGCGTAAGATCTGATACATCTCACTATATTATAACTTCACTTAATTATAATTGTATCCCATAAGTGTTTGGAAAATCATACCATAAAATCTGGGAAACGTAAATATAAACTAAGGCCCCATTTGGCAGGTAAAATAGGATGCAATTAGGAATAAAACGCAATGAAAAGGAAAGAAAAATTGGGATAATTAAATGACCCTCGTGGTCCCGCTCTTAAAAAAATATTAAGAGATATAAACTGTTTAGATTTTTACTTCTACCTCTCTCTCTCCATTGATAAACCAAACATGCACCAAGATATGCATGTACATACATATATTCATGTATTTATGTATAAATACTGCTTTTTCAAGATGTATTTTGCAAAGATATCATCAAATTAATTACAAGACAGTTACGCCTTTCTATGATAAATCCACACATCACATGGACAAAAAGGCAATTCAATATCTATTGACAACTAGTTGAGAACAGGAATCACAGTGAGAAAATGAAACAAACCTGCCAGTACATGAAAGTCTGCAGTATGTTGCGCTGCCACCTGCATATAGTTATAAAGAATATTAGACAAAAATTGAAGCATTCAATATCCTCAATAAAAAGGAATCTGCAGAAAGGGAAAACTAGGGATAAAATAGGGGGAAAAGATCAGGAAACAGACGATAGTAGTGATACAATCAGAAGTATAAGGATTATAAGGATCTGTGGATTAGTTTTCTTTCAAAAAACTATAAACATTATAAAGACATACTTTAAAATTGAAAACATTATAAGGATCTGTGGATTAGTTTTCTTTCAAAAAAAAAAAAATCTTCTCAATTATACCTCCAATTAAAAGTATTTTTTTAAAAAAATCTTATTAACCAGAAATGCCTTGTGTTTTTTAATATAATACTTAAAAATATTTTATAATTTTAAATGGAGTAATTTACTATGAAAATATCATGATTTCTTTTAAGAATAAGATTATTTGATTGACATATTTGTTAAAGCTTTGCTCTTACGATACAAAAGCCACCTAGCGTCAGACTCATGGAACATCTCAGCATCTGACGTACTTCAGTATCATAAATAGAATTTAGATACAGTATTTATGATGCAAAAGTCAATTCAAAAAGAAAAATCAATACCAAGTCAAGACCATGTAAATTCAAAAAGGGATCATTGTAATTTTTGACCTTATAATTACATTCAATTGGCCGAAGTCGGGGTATCATCAAATTCGAGTCAAAGCTAGAGATGAACATAAAACAGCTTTTCGAACCCATGAGGGACACTATGAGTTTAAAGTCATGCCTTTTGGACTTACCAACATCCCCTCCACCTTTCAATCACTGATGAATGAGGTATTTCGTGAACATTTACGCAAATTTGTACTTGTTTTTTTTGACGACATTCTTGTGTACAGCAGTGATCTATCTACTCACTTGGGACACTTAGAAACAGTGTTAAATATCTTAAGAAAAAATCAGTTGGTGGTCAACTTGAAGAAATGCAATTTCGTCCAGCCCAGGATTGAGTATCTTGGCCACATTATCTCAGAAGAAGGAGTCCAAGCTGATCCCTTGAAGGTAGAAAGTATGGTAAAATGGCCACAACCCAAGAGTGTGAAGTCACTAAGGGGTTTCTTAGGGCTGACCGGTTATTATCGAAGATTCGTTAGAAACTATGGAAAAATAGCTAGCCCGCTCATTGATTTGCTCAAGAAAGATGCCTTCAAATGGACATCGGAAGCAACTACAGCTTTTAAAAAACTCAAGACAGCTATGACTACCTTACCAGTGCTTGCAATGCCTGATTTCTCAATCCCATTTGACCTAGAAACAGATGCGTCTGGGACAAGGGTTGGTGCTGTATTGATGCAAAGAGGCAGACCCCTTGCTTATTATAGCCAAAAACTCTTAAGTAGAGCTCAACAATGCTCCATTTATGAGAGAGAACTGATGGCAATTGTTATGGCAGTCAAGAAATGGAGGCACTATTTATGGGGGCAGAAATTCAACATCCGAACAGATCAAAAAGCCTTGAAGTACTTGCTGGAGCAGTGAGTATTGGAAGAGAATCAACAAAAATGGGTGTCTAAACTTATGGGATTCAAATTTGAAATCACTTACAAACTAGGAAAGCAAAATAGAGCTACTGATGCTCTCTCTAGACAGGAAGAATCCCTAGAAATAATGGGGTTTTCTATGTGGCAATGTAATAACATCGAAGAATGGGAGAAGGAAGTGTAAGCTGATCCCGAATTGAGCAAGATTATGCAACAACTCATTACTAATCCAGAAGAAGCAGAAAGGTACAGCCTGATTAAAGGGTGTTTACACTACAAAGGAAAATTAGTGCTGTCAAAAAATTCTGTGCAGGTACCAATACTTCTAAAGGAATACCATGACTCACCGATGGGAGGACATTTAGGGTATTTACGTACTTATAAACGGCTGACCAATGTTGTTTATTAGGAAGGGATGAAGAAAGACACCCAACAATATGTTGCTAGGTGTGATATTTGTCAAAAGAATAAATACTAAGCTCTCACTCCTGCTGGACTCTTGCAACCATTGCCCATTCCACAAAGAATATAGGAAGATATTAGTATGGATTTTATCACCGGGCTACCAAAATCCAAGAGGTATGATACTATATTTGTGGTGGTGGATAGGTTTACCAAGTATGCTCATTTCCTACCATTATCTCACTCTTTTCTGCTAAAGTTGTTGCTGAAGTGTTTGTGAGTGAGATTGTGAAACTACATGGTTTTCCTAAAACCATAGTTTCTGATAGAGATAGGGTGTTCATAAGCCAATTTTGGCAAGAATTATTTAAGCAGGCTGGTACCCAACTTTGCCTCAGTTTAGCCTATCATCCTGAGTTAGACGGCCAAACAGAGGTGCTAAATAGAGGATTGGAGACTTATTTAAGGTGTTTTGTGAATGAGAAGCCAAGTCAATAGATTCATTGGTTATCATGGGCAGAATATTGTTACAATACTTCTCATCACAGTGCAGCGGGAATGACTCCTTTTAAAGCACTCTATGGTAGGGACCCTCCAACATTCCTCAAACTCCACGAAGAATCCTCCGCAATAGAGGAAGTTAATGAGCAGATTCAGATGCGAAATCAAGTTGTTGCAACCTTAAAAGATAATCTCACAGTGGCACAGAACAAGATGAAGCAGCAAGCAAACAAGCACCGCCGAGACCTTCAGTTGGAGCTTAACGATATAGTTTATGTTAAAATTAGACCCTATCGATTGAAGAGTTTAGCTCGTAGAGTCAATGAGAAATTGAGTCCTCGTTTCTATGGGCCTTTCAAGGTTATTGGGAAGGTGGGACAAGTTGCATACCGGCTGGAACTTCCTCCAACAGCTAGAATCCACCCTGTTTTCCATGTTTCTCAGCTTAAAAAATCTGTGCAATCTGCTGTTGTTAATCCCACTATTCCACCAGTACTTTCTGATGAGTTCGAACTCCAAGTGCAGCCTTAAGAAGTCCGCAAAGTCAGAACTCTTATGAATGGACAGCGAGAGATACTTGTGAAGTGGAAGGATTTACCCGAATTTAAGAACTCTTGGAATTGGTTGACACCATTACAATGCAATTTCCAGATTTTCCCCTTGAGGACAAGGTGAAGCTTTTAGGGGCGGGTAATGATAGAGCCGGAAAATATATCAAGACATATGAGAGGAAATTGAGGGGGAGACAAGGGACAGAGAGGAAAGACCCAGCAGTTTAAGGTTATTGTACTAAGGGTCCTGATAATAGGGAGAAGTCATGATGTTTGTAGAGTGGCTATAAACTCAGCATAGTAGCTAGAGTTACTTTTAGGTTGCTTTAATATTGTACTTTGTTTTGGGAAGGACTCAACAAGAATGTTTTAGAGAAGAGATACAAGTGAGGAAAGTCCTGGTCTCTCGAAAAACCAGCGAGGGGCTGTTTCAGCATTTGTTCTTGTAATCTTGGTACTGATTAGGGAATAGGGTTTTGGCCAGAATTAGTGAAAGTCATTTTGTAACATTGATTTGGTTATCCAGTCATTAATAGCAAAACCTCAGCATTTCCCTCATTTATTGCTTGTTTTATAGTTTTATGTTGTCGTGCATTTAAGTTTAGAGTTGGATTCTATCATATACTCAGATATGATAGATGACCATGTTCATCTCATGTAATTTAATTATAATTATAAGCCAGCAAAAAAGAGAAAGCTATGGTTCAAAAAAACCAAAATCAAACACCAATTTTTCATTTGAAAGACATGAAATACTGAGAACAAAATAGGGTGTACAAGTAGTCAAATAAATACAGAACAGAACAGTTTTGGGAAGCTTTTCATACATTTACCTTAACGTCCCAAAGAATGGTCAAGAACAAATAAACTGTAACAGCAGTAAAAGAAACAAAAATCAGATGATAAAATAAGTGTTGTAAATCCACATATCGAGAAAGCGTGAAAGGTAAAATATATATGTATGTATGTATGTATGTATGTATATAGCATCTACATATCTATATCTATGTATAATATAAAATTTATAAGGAGCCTCTATATATAATATAAAATTTACAAGGAGTCACGCTTTTCAATGACCTCAAACAGTATGATTCATCACAGATTGGGTACAAAACAATGCCTAAAAAGAAAAAGAGAGAAAGGGGAACCATAACTCAATGTGAAGTGACCAAAGAGGTAGTGAGATACAAGTAAATCATCTAAGCGCCCTTTTATAGTTCAAATTAAAAATGAATCTATGAAAACACCGAGATCATCTAAGTAGAATTGGGAATACGTGCAAGCCCGACCCTTATAAGCTTAGCCCTTAAGGGCCTGAGCCCTAAAGCCCGATTTTTCATTTTGAGCCCTATTTTTTAAGCTCGGCCCTTATGTGAAGGACTCAAAGCCGGACCCGTAAGCCTTTTTTAAAAAAATAAAAATAAAATTAAACATTATAAATTAATTAAAATATTTTGAAATTAAAAAATTCAAAATCCTCGTAATTTTTTAGAAATTAAACAACACACATTTAGAAGTCTAGTAATAAAATTTAATCTTGGTTAAAAAACAGTTCATTTTTTATAAATACACAAACATAATAATTATACAAAAATAAAAAATATTAAAAATTTTATATTATACACTGATATTTATTAAATTATATTAAATCAATTTTAGAATAAATTAAAGTTAATAATAATCTAATGCGTGTAGTATCAAATAAGCATGTCATTGACTTTAAACACGTGTTGCACCAAAGAAAATAATAATATAACAGGATTTGAAGGGTCACCCGAGCCCGAGTCCTTTTTTACTGGACTTATCAGTGCCAAACCCTCAAACCCAATTATTTTTTTAAAAAAATCATTCTCAAAGCCCGAACCCTTATTTAAACAGAGCCTTCAGGCTCAGCTCTTATTCTCGACTCTACATTGAAGTCATCATTTTATTTTAATATTAAGAATCCTTAATGATAAAGCACAATGGCGTCTTGCAATCCATGTAGCCGACCCCACCTAATGGGATAAAGGCTTGTTGTTGTTGTTGTATTAAGAATCCTTCAGAACGATCAGGCTAAGTGCTTCAGTGAATAAAAAGACAAAATTGTCCCCATCTTCATTGGCATCAAAACCCCGAAATCCTCCTTATAAGATGATGAACATGCTGTGATTAATCCCAAATTCAAACACACATGCTTAATTTGAAGAGAAAGGCCAATTGTCCATAAACCCTCTGACAATTTTAACAATAAGAACATTTCATGGAAGTCACTAGTACATGGATTGAAAATTGGACCAATTTCCTCCAATCCATTTAACGAGAAAAACCATTTCTCGGTTTGATTAGCCTGCGAAAAATGTGTGAGAGAGAGAGAGAGAGAGAGTTGTATCACTGAGGATTCAAGGTCAAAAACAAATAAGCACGACTGTTGGGAGCCAGAGGACGTCACCGGAGAGCACAAAGAATGGTGGGTGACGGTGACGACGCCAGGAAAGAAGAGCAGAGTCCGAGAGCGAGGCTATGACCGGGAGATATGGGTTTAACCGTTCAGGACTCAAATTTGGATTTGAACGTCTTTCCCGACCTCGTAAAGTAAACCCCTGTAGAAAAAGATATTGTTACACCATGTACACACAGAACCCCGGTGAAACGATAGTAGAAAATATAATAATAAAATTTTTTAAATTATATAAATAATAATTTCATCTTTTAAAATGTTATAATTTTACTTAAATTTATAAAAAATTTTATATTATTAATAAATTTACATAAATGATCAAATTGTCTTTGTACTAATATTAGAAATTTGACATATAAAGTTATAATTTGTTGTTGGATTGTTGTGAATATAAATAAAAAATTTTAATTATTTAAACAAAATTTATTATCATTGCTTGTTATTTCTAACACTTATAGTAACATCAAGATTTTTATTTTCAATAAGGATAATTTGATCATTTATATATTCATTAATGACCCTTAAGGAATTCAGTAGAATTATGGTATTTTAAGAAATCAAATTATCATTTATGTAATTTATAGAGATTTTATTGTCATTTTCCCTAGATAGAATTCATCTATTTTAAATTATAACATATTTTTAAATAAAATCACACATATCAATAAAGTTTATTAAATAAAATTTACAATTTTATTTTTCAAAACAAAAATATAAACTTTCAAAAATACACTTCATTTAATATTCCATTTATTTGAGAAATAATATTGAAAAAAGAATGTAGTAGTATTGAAAATATAACATTAATGAAATATAATGGAAATGTGTACTCCCTTTATTCAAAAATATAAGGCATTTTTAACTAAATCTCACCTTTAATAAAATAGTTATCTACTTTCAAACTAACATTATCTTTTCAAATTTATTCCTATTAAATACTCTACAATAAATATAAAGTCATTATCAATAGAGGCATTTTTAGAAAAAAGGCAATGATTGCATTTCAAAAGATTAAAAATGCCTTACATTTTTAAACATTCAACTTCTCAAAAAATGCCTTATATTTTTAAATGGAGGAACTATGAAATAATTAATGGAAATGGAGGCACAATGCAATATGGCATATGGTCAAAAAGTTGACTCATCGACTCGTGCATGCAAGCTGAAATAGAAAGAGAATTGAAGAGGAAAACGGAAAGGGTAATAGGAGAAGGTGTTTGTCTGTTAAGGCAAACTTTTTGGAACTAAAGAGGCTTTTTCACCAACATACTGCAAACGATAAAAAAAATTATTGAAATGCCACACCGTAAAAAATATTTACCCAAATATTACACTAAAAATCATTTATACCAAGAACAAGTTTGTTGCTATAAAAAAATCGTTCAAGCCAAAAATGATTTTATAATTAAAAATTATTTTTTATTCAATGAAATTTCATCTTTTTTATTGATGTGATATTTTATTCATTGTTAACTATGAGAATCTCTACTTTCCCTTCTTGCTTTACTTTTCCTACGTGATTTATTTAAGCATAAGATAGATGGTCATTTACTATTGTTAATGCTCCTCTGGCCTTTAAGTTTGATAGAATATTTGAGTACATGCAATGGTAATGAAAATATACCTAATAATGGATCCAATGTATTAGTGGTAATACTATGAACGTGATAAGTTTTTCACCTTCTTCTACTAGTACCATTTTTTTTCTTTATAAAAAATTATTATAATGTAATAATGTTTGTTGTTTATTTTAGGCTAACATAACAAAGGATTTATATGAGCTAATGATTAATTCTCATTCAAAATGCTCTCATTACATTGATTATCGAGATAGGGTTGTTTACGACCAATACAACATCTTACTTGTAATGAGAGAACAACAATTTAACAAGAATCCTCAGTATGCTCTACCAAAATTTGAGTTGCCTCATCTACAAATTCCTTGAGATAGACTGAGCAAACGATGTGGTAGCTATTTATCTACCCAACTACTAATTGAAAATGAAAATGTAGGAAAATGAGAGCCTCAAAATTTTAGTCAATCTCATTACATGCTAGCCTATCATCTCATCACCCCCTTTCACCTCTCCTAATCCTATTCAATTTGAGCCTTATTACGTACCACCCTCATCATCATCACTTTTCAACTCACCCGCTCTTAATCAATGGTACTAGTAGAAAAAAGTGAAAAACTTACCGCATACCTAATATCACTACTAATATATTGGATCCATTGTTAGATATATCTTCAATACCATTACAAGTACTCAGATGTTCTATCAAACTCTTCGAGTGCTGGAGGAGTATTAACAATAATAAGTGGCCATCTATCTCATGCTTAAATGAATCATGCAAGAAAAAGCAAAGCAAGAGGGAAAAGCAGATATTCTCATAGTTAACAGTGAATAAAATGTCACATCAATAAAAAAGCTAAAATCATTCACCCAATGAACGATTTCATTTTTCATTTATTAAAAAAAACAATTTCTGATTATAAAATCGTTCTTGGCTTGAATGATTTCTTCATACCCACAAACTTATTCTCAGTATGAACGATTTTTGGTACAACATTTAGGTAAATATTTTCATGGTGCAACATTTCGATAAATTTTTTTACTATTTACAGTATATTGGTAAAAAAACTAACTAAAGAAGAGACTTAAGCTTTCATACTCAAGGTAAAGCTTTTCCTCTCATTTCTCCCCTCTTCTATACTTTCAAGCTTGAGTTTCCTCCATAACATATTGGTTCTAATAAGGCTAATGAGAGTTATTTAAGCATTCTACACCTAATTTAAGAGTTTTTACAAGATTGTGAACTTGGGTTATCTATTTTGGATGAACCTTAAACCTCTAAAGGATAACTTTGGATTATTGGTTGTTATATTATTTATTATTTGAGTTAATGAGAGCTAAATACAGTTAATAGGAATTAATAAACTCATTAAGTATAAGATTGAAGTAGTGGTTAGGAAATTTGGTTGTTAAGATGTGAAATTAAAAGTTCGAAGTATTGATTTTAATTATTATTAGTGATGAGTATTAGTTATTACTGTAGACTAATCTTGTGAAGTAAAACTGAGTTGAGCTCGAAAGCAAGTGATCATTAGGAATAACCTTTAAATTCTCAAAAATTTGATGTAACCAAAAAAAATCTATTGCGTGTTATTACTTGTTAATTAATTATAAGTGTTTGTGAATTTTAAAAATATACTTTTATACGCATAAATGTATGCATATTGTTTTAGTTTTTAAAATATGCAAATAGGGTTTTGTACATTTATGTAATTGTGATACATGAAAATGAGTTTCAACTTTTGATTTTGGAAGATGTTGATAAATATGAGCACGATGATAATGATATTGTAGCATGCTATGTGATCCAAGTTAAAGGGTTTAAAACGATCAAAACATTCTCACATTTGTATAGAAGTTGTCAAAATAAGCAACGCATCATGTGGTGGGCATCAAGCTTTGTAGCACATACAAGAGAAATTTGCCAAACATGTAGAACAAGTACAGAGGCTCCAAACAACAAAGACAAGGAAAGTCGACCCATTTAATTGTATCTATGCACATCTAGATTAGGCATCAAATCATATATATAGACATCATCGAGCCTAGTAGAAGTGCATTGAATATGCAAGTTCAAATAAAATAGGAAGGACATATTTTTTCCCAAAAAAAAAACATAGTCATTTCTCATATACACTGCGTATGCTACTTCAAAAATTCTCAAGACAAAAAGGTAAGGAAAAATAAGACAGTTCACAAGTCAATTTCAAGCCTATGAATCAATTTCACTTTTCCCAAAGGACATTCCAAACAAGTATCGAACAATGAAAGGCTATTTAGAAAGCCAAATATATGATTGTAAAAAATCAAAAGGCAACTTTCTATTCCAAATACAAGAATCCAAAACGGTCACAATTTTCCCTCACTTGAATTCCAAGTTTAAAGATACAGCATGTTCAATTTTCTCACATTGGCATAAGTCATAATTTTTCAACATTTGCATTCCAACTTCAAGGATACAAAACAGTTACAATTTTCCAACATTTGCATAAAGCACAATTTTCCAATGTTTGTATTTCAAGTAAAAAGATCCAAAATAGTCAAAACATTTCCACAATTATAATCCAAGTTAAAGCATAAAAAATAGTCAAAACATTCTCATATTGGTTATCCAAGTTAAAACATCCAAAATGGTCAAAACATTCTATATATAGAGCTACCAAAAATCTAAGTTAAAGGATCCAAAATGGTCAGAACATTCCTACAATTGTAATCGAATTTAAAGGATCTAAAATGGTTTGACTATTCCTAAATTTGTTATCCAAGTTAAAGGATCCAAAATGATCAAAACATTCTCACATTTGTATATCACATTTTTTATCCAAGATAAAGGATCCAAAATAGTTAGAACATGCTCACATTTCTAATCAAATTTAAAGGCTTCGAAATGGTCCAAATATTCTCACATTAGAGATGGAAGTTAAAGTATTCAAAATGATCAGAACAATCTCACATTTGTATAGGAGCTATCAAATTAAGCAACACATCATGCAATAGGCATCAAGCCTTGCAATGTGCATACAAGAGAAAAATGTCAAACATGAATATGTACAAGGGTTCCAAGCAGCAGAGACACAAAAAGTCTAAATTGAAGAGCAAAAGTAGACCCCTTCCATTATATTATGCACATATAGATTAGGCATCGAATGATACAAATATCATTGCGCCTAATAGGAGTGCATTGATGATGCAAGTTCAAATAAAATAGGAAGGACATATATTTTAAAAAAAAAGTCATTTCTCATGCACGCAACATATGCTACCTCAAAAATTCTCAAGGCATGAAGGTAAGGAAAAATAATACAGCTCACCAAGTCAAGTTTAAGCCTATTAATTGATCTCACTTTTCCCAAAGGACGTTCAAAAGAAGTCTAAGACAATGGAAGCCTATTTAGAAAACCAAATATATGATTGTAATGAATCAAAATGCAGCTTTCTATTTCAAGTACAAGAATCCAAAACAGTCACATTTTTCCTACATTGGTGTAAGTCACAATATAATTTTCCCACATTTGCATTCAAATTTTAAAGATTTAAAATGGTCAATTTTTCCACATTTGCATAAGTCATAATTTTCCAACATTTGCATTTGAATTTCAAGGATCCAAAATAGTTATAATTTTCCAACATTTGTATATGCCACAATTTTCCAATTTTGATATTTAAAGTAAAAGGATCCAAAAATGATCAGAACATTCTCACATTTTTAATAGAAATTAAAGGATCCAAAATGGATAGAAAATTTCTACATTTGTAATCCACACAAAAGAATCCAAAATAATCAAGACATTCTCACATTTGTTTCCAAATCTAAGTTAAAGAATCCAAAACAATTAGAGCATTCCCACATTTATAATTGAAGTTAAAAGATCCAAACGATCAAACATTTTCACATTTGCAATCCAAATTAAAGGATTCAAAATGGTCAAAATATTTCAAATATGAGTCATCAAAGATCCAAAACAATCAGAACATTCTAACAGTTGTAATTGAATTTAAAGGATCCAAAAAGGTCCGAACATTCCCAAATTTATGGTCCAAGTTAAAGGATTCAAAACGATGAGAACATTCTCACATTTGTATACCACATTTCTTATCCAAGATAAAGGATCTAAAATGGTCAGAACATTCCCACATTTGTAATTGAATTTAAAGGATCCAAAACAGTCTAAATATTCCCATATTTGATATCCAAGATCCAAAATGATATGAATATCCCCACATTTGTATACCACATTTCTTATCCAAGATAAAGGATCCAAAATGGTCAAAATATTCCCACATATGTAATCGAATTTAAAGGATCCAAGACAATCCGAATATTCCCATATTTGATATCCAAACTAAAGAATCCAAAATGATCAAGACATTCCCATATTTATATACCACATTTCTTATCCAAGATAGAGGATCCAAAACAGTAAAAAATTCTCACATTTGTAATTGAATTTAAGGGATCCAAAATGGTCCAAATATTCTCACATTTGATATCCAAATTAAAGGATCCAAAACGATCAGAACATTCCCACATTTGTATAGGAGCTGTCAAAACAAACAACCCATCATCCAATGGGCATCAAGCCTTACAAGTGTGCATACAAGAGAAATTTGCCAAACATGTAAACGTACAAGGGCTTTAAGCAGCAAAGGCACGGAAAGGCTAAGCTGAAGAGCAAAACTAAACCCTTTAATTATATTTATGCACATTCAAATTAGGCATCAAATGATAAACATCAATGAGCCTAGTACGAGTGCATTGAAGATGCAAGTTCAAATAAAATAGCAAGGACATATATTTTTCAAAAAAAAAATTAACATTTCTCATATACGCTAAATATGCTACTTTAAAAAAATCTCAAAGACATGAAGGTAAGGAAAAATAAGGCAGCTCAGCAAGTGAAGTTTAAGCCTATTAATCATTCACACTTTTCCTACAAGGACATTTAAAACAAGCATCAAACAATGCAAGGGCTATTTAGAAGCCAAATATGCAATTGTAAAACATCACAAGGAAGCTTTCTATTCCAAGTATAAGAATCCAAAATAAAATGGTCACAATTTTCCCACATTTGCATTCCAAGTTCAAAGATCCAAAAATGCCAATTTTCCCGCATTAGCATGAGTCATAATTTCCCAACATTTGCATTCCAATTTCAAGGATCCAAAACAATTACAATTTTCCAACATTTACATAAGCCACAATTTTCCAACATTTATATTTCAAGTTAAATGATCTAAAATGATCAAAACATTCCTACATTTGTATCCAAAATTAAGGGATCCAAAATGATTAGAATATTCCCACAATTATAAAAGCATCCAAAACGGTTAAAACATTCTCAAATTTGTATAGGATCCATCAAAATCTAAGTTAAAGAACCCAAAACAATCAGAACATTCCCCTATTTGTAATCTAAGTTAAAGCATCCAAAATGGTCAAAACATTCTCAATATAAGAGCCGTCAAAATCTAAATTAAATGATCAAAAATAGTAAGAACATTCTCACATTTATAATCAAATTTAAAGGATCCAAAATGGTCCAAATATTCTCAAATTTGTGATCCAAGTTAAAGGATATAAAACAATCAGAACATTCTCACATTTATAATCGAATTTACAAATCCAAAATAGTCTAAATATTCCCACATTTGATATCCAAGTTAAAGGATCCAAAATAGTCAAAACATTCCCACATTTGTATAGGAGCTGTCAAAATAAGCAACACATCATGTAGTGGGCATCAAGCCTTTCAAGTGCACATACAAGAGAAATTTTGCCAAATATGTATATGTACAAGGGCTACAAGCAATAAAAACTTGAAAAGTCTAAGCTGAAGAGAAAAAGTATACCCCTATAATTGTATTTATGCACATCCACATTAGACATCAAATGATACAAACATCAATAAGCCTAGTATGATTGCATTGAAGATGCAAGTTGAGATAAAATAGCAAGGACATATATTTTTTCAAAAAATATTGTCATTTGTCATTTATGCCAACTTTAAAAAATTTGAAGACATGAAGCCAAGAAAAAACAAGGTAGCTCAATAAGTCAAGTTTAAGACTATTAATCAATCTCACTTTTTTCACAAGGCCATGAAGGTAGATGAAGGGTCATAATTGGAATCTAATCAAGCAACCAAGCATTGTGAAGTATTAGTAAACTACCCCTGCTTCTCCTCTATTTCAAAGAGAGCAAAGCACAAAACACAACACGGTGGAACAATCAAATCATCTCTGGATTACCAAAATTATATAGACCTACAAGAAGTAACAAGGACAAATAGCGTACCAGGATTTATGGAATCGTTGAAGACAGACTCAACCATGATCAATAGCCCAAATGAGATCCTTGCCGTCTCTAGACTACCAAAATGTTCAGGATATGTCATGATCAAATGGTTCTATTCCTTACGAAAGCATAAGAGATAATAAAATCAAAAGATCAAAAGAGAAGCCAAAGCAAATTAATACTTGTGGTTCGGGGGAGGTGGCTTCTCTCTACCTAGTGGGTCGGGAGTCCACTATAATTGTGAACTGATGGATTGAATTTGATGATTTGGATTTGATAGTTTTTAAAACTACAACTAAAAACAATTTAAGTGGAAGTATCATCGGATTAAGAATCAAAACGGAAATCAATTGAAATGGAAAGTTATCATCAATAGAAGTACCATTCTTCAATTTCTTGCATTAGCTGGAGGATCCTTTTGATGCATCATAAACTATATGCAAAAAGCCAAAAGATGTCATTGCCAGAAGTTGAAAGAATTATGTATCTGCCATGAAAAAAGAACCTCAAAACTGACCAATAATATCAATTGATGATGCTAATCCTGCAAATCACCGGCCTTGATGCCTATAGTAAGCAAACATCATAGTTAATCTTCCAAATACATTTTAAAGCTCTTAAGAAAGAAGTTTCGGCAAAGTACTATGATACACCAACTTTAGCAATATCAAAAATAAGCAAATGCACCATATTACACCAAAAAGAAAATTTTAAGTGGCAGAAAGGATAATTTTATTTAACAATTGATTTGAGTTGAACATAAACAGCATATACTCGATTCTTCCTTTCTACGTATTTCTATTCCGCTTGTTGGACTGTACACTTCTTCCCACTTTCAGGATGACAGACACAGATGAAGTAACGTAGAAAAATCAAATTGTACATTAACACAAAGAGAGGGGGGATCTACACTTTGTTCTGTAAGAATTAAAGCAAATTCTTACGGCCCACAAGGACAACCAACTCACTGAGAAATGAGGCACAATATTGTTGAGCTTCAACGCAATCATGTCCCTGTCAAACAAGGAAAACATACAACATCAGCAGCCAACAATACACAACAGCCTCACCAACAGTAACTCTTCTCTCAAAAATGCATTTGCTCTTTGCTACAATCCCCTCAAACCAATCGGCCATGTCACAAGCAGTAAAACTATGTCAATTAGGCCAGACACTTAAAGGTGGAAAATGGCTAATCTTGGCTTTTACAGTAATTACAAGCCAACTCATATTTTTCACCTTTTTATTAACAGAAGCGGGGGGGAAAAGTCCCTGACCCTTATTTTTCTTTTTGCACTATCAGGAGAGGGGGAAATAAAAATAAAAGAGGGAAAAAGAACAGAATGGGGTCTTTAAGTCAATATAGTGACACAAAATGATAATGGGGTCAAGCCAAACTTACCCAAATCTTCTCCCATTTTTTAATATGTTCTGCCATTTGCTAAAATTCATAACAGCATCGTTTCTGCAAAAGCACGCAGCGCTCATCACAGCCACTAAACAAGGAATTTGAATGCCTAACATCACATGTTTCACACTAATATCTTATCAATGTACATTTTCAGGAATAAGCATAATACTAATTCTACCTAGCATACTAGTTATTTAAAATGAGATAGTGCATTAGTGCTTCACACTAGCATCTCAATTAAGGATTTCCGTTCATGCAATCACAAGAGGATTAATAACTAAAAAAGTTACAAAAAAAAAAACGTCAACTTTCATAAAAAGTTAACAATACCACAAGTACTGTCAGCATATTCTAGCTCCTTATCACTATATTCCTCAATTGGTTGTTGAAATAAAGAAACTTTTGCATATGATGGGACAAATTCGAGCCCAATTACAACCTGGAAGTATAAAATTCTTGAAACCATCAACAGTTGTATAATAAATTTGATAAAAGATGAATCCTCTATAATCCCAAATAGTAATTACTAGCTAAAGTAATTAATAAATAGGAAATTGAATTTTAGAATTCTTTAACAAACAAATGGACACTGAAAAATGCAATTATCACTGAACTTTAATACATTCGACGTATATCAAGTATAAAATTAAAGCATATCATCATACAACAAAATTAAGGGCTTTGGTTATACGCTTACACTCCAGTAAATGCCACCACTAAATCACCCCTCAAGGAGGTTTTAATTCTGAGTAAGGTATAGGTTCGATACTAAGGTCACCATCCTCATACCCATATTTAACTTGTAAGAAATTCCCCATCCCCTTTGAATTCACCACAAAGAAATAAACAATTTCATATCACGTCTTCTCCCCTAAGTCTCTGTGAATCGTGTATAATCCAAGAGATTAACCCTGCAAGTCATAACCTGCGAGCAACTTAACAGAGATACTATTTTATATACATTGATACTGATGTCCCTTTATGCCGATGATCTGATTAGTAAAAAGTCCATAAAACCCATTATCATAACAAATTTATGAATTATTGTAAATGCAGATGAAGGGTCGTAATTGGAATCTAATCAATCAACCAAGCATTGTGAAGTATTAGTATACTACCAAAGCTATATTGCATTTCAACAGAAGTACCAGCGCTTGACTGAAACTAGGAATCTTTCAAAGGTCGTCAAGAAAGCTAGAAGCACAGCTGGGTTCACAACATTCAAATAAATTACTCGACGGACTAGAGCTAAGAGGAGAAAGGGAGATGACTATAGTTGTTGAGTACCCGGAGGAAGGTACCAGATCGACTTTTGTAGCGGATCTTACTTACATCGGTTCTAGTGCTTTCTCTTGAAGATGGACTCAACCATGGCGGTGCCTCGTCTTCTCGAAGGGGTCTTAAGGCTTCAAGGCGCTTGGGAGAGAAAAGCTAGAGTGTGCAGACCTTCCTCATCTACGCGTAGTGAGGCCCATAATCGCCCCAGATGAGATCCTTGCCGTCTTAGCTAACTTGGTTTCCAATTGGCTCTTGTGCCGGTCAGCCAATTGCAAGTCGTGCTCCTTCAACACCTCTCTACCAAGCAGAAGACGATGACGTTCATGGTAGAGCCAGACCCATATGATGGAACCATAGGACTAGACCCACTCGGCGAAGCAACGCAACTCGCATCACAAAGGTCGATGCTTAGAAACGACCGTTGGGATTAGGCTCGCTTAAGATTGGCGCAACCGCGCGCTGGCTTATTTATTTGTATGAGCGCAATTAATTAATAATTAATATTTTTTGATCTTGTCGTGTTAGTTCAGCTTTGAATTGTACGGGCTTTTGGCGGGGGTGTACTTGAAAAGCCGAACTCATAATTAAAAGACAAAGAAAAATAAAAACGATTATACTTTATAATATTTAATATCATTATCTTTTAACAAAATTATCATAATTATTTATTTAATACTATAATTTTTCACTAATTATGATAATAAATTAATTTTATATTTTTTTATGAATCTCATACCACCTTAAATTTATTTGTAAAGAAATACAAATTGACATAAATTTTGTTATAGTTATATATAACTCATTACTTTTAAACGTTTAAAATTAATATTTCTAACTTTTTAATTTTATTTTATTTTTCAAAACCCTAGTTAATAACTATGTTATCTTATTATAGAGATTGTCATGTCAGAATAATAAGATACACATGACATGACATGAAAAAATATTTTAATGATTTTTCAACACAACTTAAACATAGTTTAATGATGAATCATATGAATAAAAATTTATTTTTTAAAACAAGAAAAATATTCACCATTAATTATAGAAAAATATTGATAATATTTTTATAAAGTTATTATTAACTTACATAAGATAACACATGAGTTGCCACGTATTTTTTTTTCAATATAAGATGGGCAAATGGCAATTTTTATTTATAAGATAATTAAGAAATAATAGTAGATGAGTCTATGATTAAAAAAATTGTTATAAAAGTTAATTTTTAACTTTTAAAGATAATGAGTTTTATGTAACAATTTTAAAGTTTAAAACGGTTTGTATATTTTACCTAAATTTATTTCACTTTGTTGTTAGGAATTTTTTTTTTAGGATTATTTTTTCTTGTGAATTGGAATGAGATTAACTGTCTCCAAAGGAGCATAACAACTATGCTCAATATGATATGGATGAAAAGGAATCATGTCATGCATCAGGGGATAAATTTCGATCCTGGGCAAATAATCAAGGAGGTTAAAGATTTAAATCTTTAACTAGAAGCTGTATTCAAGTCCGACAAGAGATTGTAGTCAAATCCAGAGCCTCGCAGTAGAAGTTCCGAACACAATCCGAGCTTTTCTGAGATAAAACGAAAAATCTTGATCAGAAAAAGAAAAGAGGCAAAATAAAGAATGGGATTTCATCTTCACCTTTGGCAACGAGATCCTCTGCTCGACCACAAAGCAACAAGCCAAATTCCCGAAAGATCATAATCTTCTTTGGGTCCGAAATGCTCTTCACTAGCTTTAAGGCTCATGTTCAAATTCACAATCTAGAAACTTTCCCGATGGAGATTATTTTTTTATAAGAAAATCACAAGCTTTTTAGATGGTTTAATGGAGAGGAAGAATCCGTGTCAGGTCAATGAGATGGTGCTGTATGGTATTAGAACTCTTGCACGAAACTCCACATCTATTAGTTTTAGTTTTACTTGCTTTTTTCCTACTTTTTGTAACAGTGTAATAGGGGGACCCACTACTTAAAGTGGTGGTCCGGATATTGATTGTTCTTTGTACTTGATATGATTAGTTGGTAGAATTTTTAATTGGTCTCTAAACGAAAAGCCTTGTTTTGATTACAACGCGTATGTTGGGGAAAAAAAGGGGAAAAGTTACAGGTCCTACAAAAAAATTTAATTATTAAGAAGTTTTTTAAAATGCACAAAATACTCTTAAATCTTAAATTCTATATATTTACAACTTCATAAAGGATATTTATAGTTACCCAACGAGCATTTATAACTTGCAAAAAAAAATGATAACTTGTATTAGTAAATTGTAAATAAGATAACTTATAATAGCAAATTGTAAATGTTCATTGCTCAATTATAAATGTCATTTACTAAGTTATAAATGCGTAAAATTTAGGACTTGAAAATTGTATGGGATCTCTTGATAATTAAATCTCTTCTGTAAAATTTAGGTGTAATTTTTTCAAAAAAATGAATGCTTATATAAAATCCTTTTTAAAAAATAATAATTCTGTTTTATATAAATCATGTTTTTGTTGTGAATATTAAAAGAGGAGTAAATGTCATCTTCCTCACCTCTTCATCTTCATTTTCTCTCATGAAACTCAAAATTATAAGAGTTGATTATCTTTTATTTGCCTCTATCATTTGTGTAACATTCAATGTGTAAAACCGTGACTATAAATAGAGCATGTTATTTGTATTTAAAGGTAAAATAATTTATAAGAAATTCTCTCATTTTTTGTCTCTACTTCTTCTCCTAGTATCTTTATTTTTTAATTACTTAATTTCATAACATGTTATCAATTGCTATAGTTTGATACCAATTCTAAAACAAAAAAATCAATTTGACCATATATTAGATTTCTAATCAAAAACCAATTCTAAAAGGGAGTTCTTAAGATAATTTGTTGGCTTGATATGAATTATGATGCTATATGTAAAGTTGCATGTCCCCAAGTAGAAATTGGGAGATTCAACAGTGTAAGTAATAGTCGTGCAATCAATTATAAACGTTTAATCAATGATTTTGCAAGCCCATTTTATGTACGAACATGTGCTATAAAATGTTCAGCATCAATTCCAAGAGACTTGCAAAATTCATTAAAAGCTTGTGAAGTAAATTCACAAACATTAGCTAGGCATATTTTCTTAATAGAATAATTAGGAAAGTGTGCTCTTAATCTAATTGAGCAAGCAATCTTGCAAAAGCTAAGTTACAAGAAGATAATAAGCAAAGATGCCACCATTTTATCGTTGCATCAGTTAAAATCACAACAGACTGTGTTGGGCTCGCAAAGAAAGGATGGGAATACATGTCGAATATGAAATCTCCATCTATAATTAAATATATAGAACCATTAACAAGAAATTTATTTATAGCTCAATTTGTTGATTGTCATTTTGATGAATTAATTTTTCCAATATTAGGGGGAAAAAATAAGCAGTTGAAAAAGAAATTAGTTGGAATGGATTATCATTATCTCATATTGATCTTTGTACAAAGCAATGTGAACTAAGAGTTTAAAAGATAATTCATTTACAAAAATTAGCAAATCAATTGACAAATGCATTTATTGATTCAAAGAAAGTAACTAAGTCACATATTATAGTTGCTAATGCTTCAATTAGAATTGATGTCCCTGTTAGATAGTTTGCTATTGCAAATGATTATAAATCATACATAAAGCGCGGTAGGCTTATTGGCTTTAAAGATAAAATTCCTCAAAAAAGAAATGAGCTACAAACACATATGGTCAAATCAAGAATAATCAAGAAAAGTTAATAACTCATGAAGAGTCACTAATATTTTAATTTCAGAAGAAACTTAGGTACATGAAATGTGTGAAGATAATGAGATCTCAATAAATTATGTTATGATAGAATACAATGGAACTGGAATGAAATTAACGTTGATGATATTATCACATATAATGTAGCGCTTGATATAATAAATGATAATAAGGATCATGAACCAAAGTGCATTAAAAAAGGATTGGTCAAAATGAAAAGATGCAATTGAGACATAATTAAAATCACTTGAAAAGCAAAAAAAATTTAGACCCATAGTCCATAAACTTAAAGGTGTCAAGGCGGTTGGATATAAATGGGTTTTTGTGTGAAAAAGAAATGAAAATAATGAAATTGTAAGATAGAACACACAACTTGTGGCTCAAGAATTTACGGAAAGGCCTAGAATTGATTTTGTCGAAACATACTCACCAGTAGTGAATGCAACTACTTTTCAATATTTAATTAGTTTGACAATAACTAAAGGACTCGATTTGTATCTAATGGATATTATTACATCCTATTTGTATGGCTCACTTAATAGTCACATTTACATGAAAATTTTTTAAAGGATTCAAATTACTAAAAGCATACAATTCAAGTTCTTGAGAAAAATATTCGATTAAGTTAAATAACTCCTTATATGAATTGAAACAATCAAAGTGTGGTATGGTATAATTGAATTAGTGAATATCTGTTGAAAGAATGATATAAAAATGATTCAATTTATCCTTGTTTTTATGAAAAGATTTTGACAGGAGTTGATTATAATTGTTGTTTATGTGGATGACATAAATATTATTAGAACACTTAAAGAGCTTTCGAAAGCTATACATTACTTAAATAAAAAAGTTGAAATGAAACAGTTGAAAAGAACAAAATTTTGTCTTGGATTACAAATAGAATATGTGAATAATGAGATTTTTTAATATTAAGAAAATTATACAAAAAA